CAGGATTAAATGCTATTGAAAAAGTTGCAGATCAAGGCAATGATAGCCTGGTATTTTTGATTTTAGGTTACTATTTGTTATAGTTATTATTCTTATTTTCTAAACTATTTTACTCTTTTTTTTTTTTTGTTTATTCGCTTTTAGGAACCAAAAATCTATGTTGATGCGTTGCTTGAAGTTCATAGCAAGTACAATGATATGGTTACAACAGCCTTTAGAGGCGAAGCTGGTTTCGTTGCTTCACTTGATAAGGTAAATGCCTAATATTGGTCGGAATGTTCAATTTTGAATTCATTGCTAATAATGGTGCTATTAGTCATGCCGAGAATTCGTAAATCGCAATAAAGTGTGCAAAGCCTCGACATCAAAATCGCCAGAATTATTGGCCCGATTTTGTGATTCGTTGCTTAGGAAGAGTTCAAAGAACCCTGAGGAAAATGATCTTGAAGAGGTCTTGAACAATATTGTAGGTACTTTCCGCGTTTATGGGAATTCTTGAGTATTTCATACCATTCAACTCTAACAGAAAAATATTTAATATTATTTAGATGACTGTATTTAAATATGTGGAGGATAAGGACGTTTTCCAAAAGTTCTATTCAAAGATGTTGGCAAAACGTTTGGTCAATGGAACATCAGCATCAGAAGATGCAGAATCAAGCATGATATCTAAATTAAAGGTTGGATATGATAATCTTTTTACTGTGAACTTGAAATCTAATTAATGTAATTGATACAAATTGTCTTCTGAATAACCTTACAGGAAGCGTGTGGTTTCGAATACACGTCAAAATTACAGCGCATGTTTACTGATATGGGATTAAGTAAAGATCTTAACGATCAATTCAAAGAGCGCAATTCTATGGGAGCTAATGAACAAGGTATTTAAATTGTTTAAATGTAGATTTGTAACGATATATTCTAGTTTTAGACTAGCTCATTCTACACTTTTATACACTTTAGTCGACTTCTCTGTTCTTGTTTTGGGTACTGCGTCTTGGCCACTTCAACCATCTACAACAAATTTCACTATACCAGAAGAAGTAATATATATAATATTGATTATTGCTTTTTATTTTCACGTATACGTTTTTGACATTTTTTGTTTAATCACTAGCTTGAAAGAACTTTCCAACATTTCAAAATGTTTTACCAGCATAAACATTCTGGTCGCAAACTTAATTGGTTATTCCATCTTTCAAAAGGTGAATTGAAGGCTAATTATTGTCATCTATCAAAGGCAGGTTATACATTCCAGGTCGGTATTTGAGAGGCGCTAAATCAACTTATTGGTGTTAAATTTTTGACGCAGATAAATGTTTCCTTCACATTCTAGGTATCAACATACCAAATGGGTATTCTTTTGCAATACAATAAAGATACGTCATACACCTTTGAAGAGTTAAAACAAAGCACCGATTTGAATGCAGATGTCTTGGTAGGCGCCCTAGGGACCCTCGTTAAGGCCAAAGTACTTGAACTTTCTGATGGTACGGAAGTCGGTGATACTTCGTCTCGTTATGAATTGAACATGGACTTTAAGAGGTTTATTATTTAGACATAAAGTCATCTAGCTTGAAATTTGTGTTATACTTTTTCTATAATGATCAACTATACTATATTTTGTTATTATTTACTAGTAAAAAAGTCCGTATTCAATTAAATGTTCCTATCAAGTCTGAGCAAAAAGTAGAAGTAGAAGAAACCCACAAAACTGTTGAGGAGGACCGAAAGTTATTGATGCAGGTTCGTAAATTCTAAACTTGACATAATATATTCATAAAAGATTACAATTACCAATTTTGTATATTGGCGTATGTGCAGGCCGCTATTGTTCGTATCATGAAGACTAGAAAAACATTGAAGCATGTTGTCCTGGTGAACGAAGTGATTGCACAATTGTCGAATCGTTTCAAGCCTAAAATACCTGATATTAAAAAATGCATTGACGTCTTACTGGAAAAAGAGTATATTGAGCGAGTTGAGGGCCAAAAGGATATGTTTTCATATGTTGCATGAAGTGCAATCTAGAGATGATAATCGATTAGGGATGGTCAAAAAAATTTTTTTTTGAGTGTGGTTGGCCGATAAATGATCGGACATTTTCGATCATTATATCGTCATGCGACACTATGCATAATACGCACATTTTTCACAATTCGAATCTCTTTATAATCGTCAATTGTATTATTAATTATTTCACGTTATTCGTGCGGCTTATAAATTTAAATGCAATGACTTTTATGCTTAGACTAATCAACGCGAATAAAATATTCATTAAATAGTTTTAAAATTTTCCACTTTAAAATGCAAATTCAAATAACTTAATAATATTTTTGTCTTTATTATTTTTCATGCTAAATCCTAGTATTAATGTCATGCTTGTTAATATCTGCTTAAAGCTGCTCGATACGATAGTATCGAGGTAGCTTTTGTCTCGAATCAACACGTGATCTACAGGATTATGCTGCGAAGGTCAAATGGTAAATTATGCAAAATTATGCAAGTTTTTTACCTAAATTATGCTCATATATTATGCACTATCTTGGAAATTATGTAAAATATGCGAAAATGTTTTTTATCAGAAAATTGAAACAAAAGTCGAAAAAAAAAAGATTGATCATTTTTAATTATATTGAAGACATGTCAAATACGTAGTTCTAATTCTTAAATATATATCGATATTAATCTCATTGGTCGATTTGGTTCATATGATTAAAGAAAATTATCTAGTGTAATTAGTCGCTATATTTGATATAAGACTAAAAAACTCTGGTTCACACATTATGCGGCTTTATGCAACGCATAATGCGTATGCGACATGGGTTGAATTATGCGCATCATAATCCTGCCCGGTTACAATCACATGAGTAGTTAATTAACTATACTGTATATTAGTAATTGAGGAAAATAGTGAGGTAATAGTTACGATCAATAAATTAGTTTATTAGTAATGATGACGTCTATGAGCTAAGTTAATTTAAGCATTTTAATGGTTGGAAGAAGAAATATCTATTTCTTCTGCGAACGCAACACTTAGTCTGGTTGTGTCGATTCCACCCGTTCCACCCAAATGGAAAGTTTTAGTTAATCGTTTAATTCGACAAGTTTCGTGGGATTAAAAGGTAACCGGTTAAACTACTCCACGAAGGAGTGGCCTGTTGGTTATACGTAATTTTGCGTAATTTTTCGGTAACAGTTTTCATGTAATTTGTAAGAAACGTGGGGTATTCTATAGAATAGGCGGGCAATATAAGAAATAAGCTTCGCTAATGATTAGTAATCATTAATTTTTTATATACGTACATATCATTAAAATTTTGTCGTAATCTAATTAATCAATTTCAAATATACAGTATATTATGATCAAAGTTATCAATTATATCGGAGTTGCGGAGTTTGCCCACCTGTTCTATAGAACATCCGAAACGTGATCATACGCTGGTTGGATTATATGAACTTTATGCAGAATCTACTGTAGTCCATGTTACTGAAACTTCGTGAAATTTTGTAAAAATGACCCGTGGACGACAGTCACAAGGCTAATTAAAAACAAAAAATAAAGAAGGGAGTAGAAAGCGATACTAGTGAAATGCTACGAGAAATGTTCGACAGCAGAGAGAGTAAAACCCGTATGTGTTTCTATGATGTGATTACAACAAAATGAGAAACAATTCAAAACATTTGGAATCGCAGTTAATTTATTACTATATTTTCTTTAGTAATCGTACGTAGTCGTACGTACAATTATTATAATAATTACATATATTGATATATATAGATACTTTTATCTTTGCTACGTATATATGCATAATTATTAAATCTTTTCTTATTGTTACCGTTATATCTTGCTTAATTTGTGCGTAATATTTTTTATCAAAGAGCTGCTTGTTGTGAATAATAACGATAATATTTTATGAATGGCTGTTTAAATCAATTTAATTTTATATTATTTATATAGTTTGAAGTACTGTTTAAAAAAAAACCAAAGAATAAATAAAAATACATATATATATCTAGAAAGCTTTATTAAATCGTAAGACTCCATGATTAAAATCCTTTTTGTTTTAGAGAAGGTAGCATAATAACGACTTCTTAAAAATTGATAAAATTAGATTAATATGCTAACTTTTCTAAAATAAAGGGAATTTTGATTATTTTTAATTGTAAAGTTCTACAACTCTAATAAAACTTACTATTACTTTTTATTCTTTGTAGTTTGATTTTAAAAAAGTACTTTAAACTTTATAAAAAATATTTAAATAGCCAATCATATGAGAGTTTTTCTATGATAAGAATAACGCATCTTTTAAACCTAATTTTTGTATTTAAAAATTGACGCAATTATAAATATATAATATATAATATTCTTTGTTTATAGTGTTTAGAGTTGATTAATATCTTCAAAAGAAGTATCGGTATATACAATATTTTAGCCTTTTTTTTATAGTTAGCTTAGAATTTAATTAGGTTTAGTTTTGATAATAAAATGTATAAGTAGATTTTTGGTAGGGTTTATATTTTCAAATCGAGGGTTTTTTAATTTTATCTTTAGCTTTAGCCGTGATATTTATTATTTTTAACTTGAATATTTTAGTATTATTTTTCGATACTAAATAAAATGCACCTATGGTGTTTTACATTTATGCATGTGTTATTTCAAAAATTGAATAATTAATCGGTCGGTATGTGATGTTCTAAGTAAAAATGGTTTACACCACCAAAAACTTTTTTAAAACTCTGATCCTAACCTTAATATTAAATTTTAACATGAAAAAATTGGTGTTATACAAAATTTATAAAAATAGAAATTTTTAAAAAACTTATATAATAGATGCAAAGTCATCATAAATGTGTTTTAGAATAATTGTTTTTCAATATACTGTATTTAATATATATTATAGTTAGCAAAAACATAATTGAATCAGTTTTTAAATTATAAATTAAAATCAAATTAATTTTTTTTTCCAATTCGGCTATCCTACCCTTGTTTATTTAGAATCAAGTTATTCAAAATTACAAGAATTTATCTCTAACTAAAGTAGATCTAACCAAACGAAGAACTCACCATGTGATTTTATACACCAGACACGACCTGCCTCAATAGCTCTTGGTTTTACTCAGGGTTTTTAACTCACTAAGGACTTTTTTTTTGTTATTCATCGGTTGGCAGTTACCCACTCATCAAGAAGCAAAATCAGAAAATAAAACAAACAAACTAAAAAAAAAAACACTGAGGTATAGGGGACTATGGTAAAAGAATACAAAATACGAAAAAAAAGGTGTAAAGAAATATTGAAAAAAAATAAAAACAAAACAGAAAATTTGCCTATCTTAATATCATAGTTATAAACCTATGAGTAGCTTGGAAAAATTATATACTGACTAGACAAATTAGACTCTACTTTTATTTTTCTTTAAACTAGTATGTGAAAATAAAAACTCAATAGAAAAAATTTTATTGACTGGCTTAAAGGTAAGGTGAAATGATCTACATTTCAATAGTGATCACATTACTAAATTTTTTTACAATAACATTTAATTAAAATCAGATAATGATTATATGTTATTTATGTTGTATAATTTAGGCAAATTTCGATTAAGTTAAAAAGAATTAATGATATATATAAGTATATTTTTTTCGAATATAACAAAGGTTCAAATTCTATTATTATAATTAGATGAGTTTAATGTATATACTATAAAAATTTTACAAAAAAAATCAGATTTTTAAAAACTTTTATATGTAACATATGTTCAATTTTTGGGTAAAATTTTTTTAGTTAATATTCTTATATAAAAATGATTTATATTCACTCTACCTTTAAGGTAGAGAGGTCAGAACAGAGCCTTAGAGCATTATTTATACAGATATCTATTGTATTCGAGGCATGTATATACATGTGTTTGTTGTTATATTTCGATTTGAAAGATAAATAATGCTGACTTGTTTGGTATATGTGATGTCGATCATTTAGAGGTGATAAACTAAAATGCACACTTTTTACAAAAATTGTTTCAAAAAAAAGTAGTGGGCCAACGAAAGTATGTGTGGTTCTTCTTGTAGGTTTTACAGTTGTATAGTTCAGCTTCTCTGTTTCTACTAACTTGATGAGTGCATGTTAGTTACTTCTTACAAACTTGTTCTTAGAATAAACTTTCTGGTTTGGATATTGAATACTTTGGGAAGTCTGTCTAGTAGAAAAGAAACTTGATCCCAAAGAAAACTGTCTGTATTCTTTTGATGCCCGCTTCTCGATGTTTCACATTTAGATGCTTAGACTTCATTAACAACAAGCTGTTTTTATATAGCAACCAAGTTTAGTATCTACTTCGTTGCTTTTCTATAGCATTTTGCTGTAGTTCAGTTTTATTGTTGTTGGCCAAAAAATTGTTAGAAAGAGTTGTTTGTTAAATGATAGCACTTTTGAAAAAATCAAATTAATTAAAAATAAACTTTAAATATAATTTATATTATATAACACTTATATAGTTTTAATTAGAGTTAGGATTAAAATAGAGGTTTTATAAAGGTTTTTTATTGACCAGAGTGAAGCAACGAACCTATACTTCTATGTGCTTTGATGACTGAAATTACTATTTTGATGCATCTATAATAAAAATATCAATAACGTAGTTTCGGTATTTTCCGTCTGTAACGCCACGTATCTAAATTGGGATATTTGTATAACAATAACATAAAAACAAAACTTTTACGTGACAATATTATATTCATCTAATTGGG